TATATATATATATATATATAATTTATGTACGATAAAAATATAAAGTGCTGCAGATCTTGATATTTTCGAGCAATGAGGTCGGTTTCGCCCGAAAATATGATGGCAGCCGATACACCTCCAACAAATCTTCATCATCCGACACGAATTTCGAGCATAACACGGTGGATAAGGTCAACATAAGAACAAACTATCTACTGCATTAGTGATCAAGTAGAAAGGTTCTAGGCAGAATTTCCCAATGAAGGCTCCTATCAATAACTTCAGAATTTAAAGTAGTTCTTAAGCAACTCTCCTTCACTTTCGCGAATTCCGGAGAGATGGGATGAATCCTTGATGATTAGTCGGTTTGTCATAATTGCTCCGCGAATAGTCTGACAAACTCGTTAAAGGTGTTTACAGTGCTCGTGGCAGAGTAGAACTAGGTGCGAGTTTGTTATTTAAGAGTGGTTTAGAACACTAGATACAGAAGTGCGTCAGAGGTACGCTGAATTTGTATGATGGTTCGATAATGATCAATATGCTTATAGAGGTCGGTTATCTCTTCATAGGTGTTGATGTTCTGAAGCTTAAAACCTGTTGGGATGGGATGTTGGAGAATCACATCCGTTAAGGGAAAAGATTCATGGACATTACGGTGAGTGGGGAAGCGATCATTTTTCTTTAGGGGGAACTCTTTCCGGACGAGGCATCGTAGCTCGTTACTAATGACCATCTGTACTGACAATAAAGTCGTGCCTGTGCTAAGTGAGTTGCGCGAGATGGATGAGTGGAACTTGCGGTATTTTGGAGTTCATCATCACGACCTAACAGGTGAAGTGTTCCTTCTTGGGGATAGGGGCTAGTACGAGTTCCTCCTAGTAGTATATTTCCCTTAGGTGGCTAAGTTAATGGTAAACGAATTTCATTCAATGGTGTGGGCAGCGACTATGAGCCCCGCATAGGAGTTGTAGAATTTCTAGTTGAGACTCTTCCATTCTACGCATTCGATCTTCTATTGAAGGACCCAAAACACCTTCATCAGCAGGATAGGCTCTCAGCAGGATAGCGTCTTCCAGGCCGGGAAGACGAAGAAGCATGCCGCCCTTGGCTTTGTGATTGTTCCCTGGAACGATGAGTGTTGGACCGGGATGCTCCATTATCACGAACATTGTGTCTGGTTGCCATGTAGTAGACCGCGTAAGTACTTTAGTTATGGGATTGAAACCTTCCCACAGACGGCGCCAAACTGATGTGTGCTAGAAAATTCACGGCGGTCGAGTAATCGATTATCGTCTTAGCGTTGCACGAGAATTCAGCACACACTCAGATAAAAATGAATCAAGCTGTGATCACACCAGAAGTTTTTACGTGGAAAACCCGTAAAAAGGGAAAAAACACGGGGTCTGGCCCAGTTGTAAAAATCCACTATAAGTTGATGATTACAAATGCCCCTTTGTCCCACAGGTGGAAAAGAGTTACTAGCTTTCCACGTTACAACGTCGACTGATGACGTCTAATAAGCAGTGGTTGACGGAGGTCAGCGGTAGCTAACAACAGTTGATGACGGTCGGTGGTAGTTGACAGAGGTCAGCGGTGATCGACGGTGTTCAACGGTGGTCGGCGTTGGTCGACAGAGGTCGGCGGTCGGGGTCGACGGTCAGTGGTGGTCGACGGCAATCGACGATGACGATGATGATCTTGGACTTGAGCTCCTTCTCAAAACCTCAAGTTCTCTCTTATGCCTCCTCCCCTCATGTGAGGGGTGAGGCTCTATTTATAGTGTTTTGAGTGCAATTAATGCAGGGATTCGACATTCTTTTGACCTTTTAAATGCCTCCGGAAATCCTCCAATAGTGGTTTAATGACTTGATTTGGGCCTGATTTGACTCGGATTGGACTAACTTTTATATCATTAGGTCCGTCTCATCGAGCCGATCAGTTTGACTATAATTTTGCTGAAATCAGAGCTTCAGATGACTCTTAATCGAAGTTTGAATGTCTCTTGTTCAAAAAATTGCACTGAGATTCATGCTGGTTGATGAAAATTTGTTGGTGACGTATCAAGTCTCATTGCGGGTTCATTAGTCAATAATAAAAAAAACTGATTTATTTTAACAAAAGAAACTCAAAAATGAAAAATAATTACAAGCTTGCCTCAATTAAAATGATTCATTAAAAGCATGTTCTTCCCCTCAATTACATAAAATAGAGTTACAAAGTTAATAACACAAATTTGATTTCTTGTACTTATAATAGAATAGTAGAATTTATAGTTGATGTTAGGCCGACAATGATGATTATGCGATGACAATTACTAGCTATAATCATCAACAAAGCTCTATAATTTTTTCATTCAAACTCATATTAATTTTAAGTTCAAACACTATTTATATGAAGAATAAGTCTATTTATAATTCTTTTCATCCAAAGTGCTATATAAAATGATTTATTTTAGATTTTCTTATGATAGATCATTTTTTTAGCATTTAGTTATCTTAACAATCTCATAATTGAGTGGTATTAGGCTTATTAGACTTCTCTTATCAATTCACTCTATTTTATTATAACCAATAAATAATCAGATATTATTTGGTCGACTAATTAATGTTATAAACTTTATAGTTTGAATCGAAGGTTTAATATTGGCTCATTTAAACTAGGATGAATATTTATTGTTATTGAGTCGGTCCAATTAATAAGTTCAGTTTGACTATAAGTCTGATAAAATAGGAGTTTTGATGGGTTTGATTTTAATTTAAATATTTTTTCAACTCAAATATTTATTGAAATCCATGCTTCTTTTGATGAATTTGTTGATGGTGTATCATTTGCTCTTTTAATTTTAAAGATCATTTTTCTTACATTCAAAATAATATCTATGTAAAATTAATCCATCATGATAACCCTTTTAACCTATCAATGTATTAAATGTGAAGATTTAATTATTTTAGCTAATTATTCATTTATCAATAGTTATTGAAATATATAAATGCAGCATTCATAGATTTAATTATATAATAACCATTTAGCAAATATTATTATTTATTTTAATTAAGCATTATTGATGGCTATGAGAACTCAATCAAGTAAAATAGTGGTTAATTAAGGGCTATTTATTCAATTAGTCTACCTATATACACCTTAATCAACTACTATAGTTCGATTAAGTTATTTATATATATCTAACACCTAAATTCTATTTTTTTTTTTTATACATACCAACAAAATTTTTTATATCATATAAAAATATCACCATTTAAGCTTTTAAAAGGTGAAATATATCATTTCATGCATAAATAAAGTGGTGTGTCTATCTATATAAATATGAATTAAAGTTTAAATCTTAGAGATGTAAATACATATGAATTAAGTGTCATGTACTTAAATCTTACTTAAGATACTAAATAAGGCATATTGATCTTATAATCAAGTTGTTTAAACCACATGAAATGAAATCAACCAAAATTGGCTATTATAAATACCGTCCCGCATAAATATCAACATTTACAATAAAATTTTAACTAATATAATTTGGCTTTATAAAATTCCTAACATTTTGATTCTAAATGTAGGTATATATATAAGTTTGTCAAAACGGCTCGTTGTTCGCGAACAGCTCATGTTCGACTCGTTAAGAAGCTCATGTTCGGCTCGTTTTGGCTCGAAATACTACTCATCAAGTTTATATATATATATATATATAATATATATATATATATATTAAGTAGTATTTTAAAAAAAAAATTAATTGAATACAAAGCTACAAAGATTTATAATCAATTAAAATATTGATTGAGAAAATAGAATAAAAATTACTAAATTAGATTCAAATGATGTTTTAATATAAATAATAATTTTTAAATCTTTCTCAAACCCTTGTTGTCATATAGCTACTTGATTAGGGTTGTTAAAAGCAATCTTTATTCGTGAACAGCTCGTGTTCGGCTCGTTAAGCAAACGAGCAGAACACGAACACACCTTTTTAGCTCGAAATATAAACGAGCCGAACACGAGCTAAGCATGGCTCGTTTACACGCCTATATATATATCATGAATATTAATTTTATAAGTACATTAATTTACAATGTTAAAGAATTTAATTTTCCCAAAAAAAAGGGGAACTCATATACATAAATAGGGTGTTCGACTAAAAATTAGATTTTGCGTTAGTAGAATTTAGTAAATCCGTTAAATTCACCCACCCCATGGGTTTAGTAAATCCAAATTTAAACCGAATTAAACGCAAAATTTCGAAAATTGAATCATAAAATTCATAAATCCACGAAACTCCTATATTTTTGTGTTTAGCCTTATAAATCACGTGTTAAATCTCATTCAAAGGTGCACCAAACACCCCCAAAAGTGGCAAGTATGTACAAAACAATAAGTTATGTTTTTAAAATTTTTTTCCAAAATTTAATTTAATACGAAAGCATGAAATAAATTAAAAAAATATATGGCATATAATATCATAAAATATAAATAGTACAAAAGGAAACCTTAAAACTTTATCGATAGAAGTAGGGGCAAAAACAAATCAAGTTGAACTTGGGTCCAACCTAACTCAAGCTCAACATGTTCGCTCAATAGGGAGCTCAAACTCGACCCGCGCTCAATTCAAGTCCACATGACAACGATTTTGCTTTAACTTCCCAAATATCAGAAATGCTCTTATGCCTTTTTTTTTGTTCATATAACATACAAATTTCAAGAACATTTTACAACACATGCAATCACCCTTACTATATATAGCTAATATGCAAAACATAATAAGTACAATATGATAGTATTTAGTAAGGCATACATATATTAGTGAAATAATTTGTTTCCTCTCAAGCTAGGATAGACCGAGTCTTCATATTTCCCATCCCACCTGTACAGCCACAACGACCAAAACAGATTATTAGAGCTTCTGCAGAAGTAAGAATTGGGGCGTTTACATACATACCACCCAATTCCTATGTATTTACATATGTCACACCTAAACTTTACTTTTTTACATTTATACCATCTAAACCTTTTGAATCACATAAAAAATATCATGAATGGGAAAAGTGGCAGATATGTAAAAATTGAAGCTTAGGTGATATATATGTAAATACAAGAATTGAGAAAGCAGAGAATCATATGAATCAGTTATTACCTGCATCCTTTTCCCTCAGCAGGTATTTGTAACTCCAATTCTGGACTGAATGGTTTGAAAGCGAGATCAATTTTTTCATTGCTCACTTCCATGGCCGTTGCAGGGTTCCACTGAGGAATTGTAGGGAGACTTTAAGAGGTAAGACTGCCTGTTTTGAAATTATATAGTTTATATTTGATTGAAATGATGAATGGAAGAGAGTACCTTGGGAACATTATCTTTGTCAATGCTAAAAGCTCGAATACCCTTTAATGGAGTAAAAATTTTTTGAGAAACCAGGATAAGCATAACAAAAGGGAAATGATTAAGCAATTCTAGCGTTACCTCGTAGACATCATCGGATACCACAGATCTAAGCAGGTTCATTGTGAGTCTGAATTCTTTCTTGAGACATTCTGCCAAGGTTTGGGTTCTTCCCTCTCGGATCTGCCAAGCAGGTGATTCGTTAGTAAGTAAGAAGATTGAAAATTTCTAGTTCCTTTTTCAGGTATAAGTTTGTTCAGAAAAGCTAAGATGTTTTATTTTGGGGAAGCTTAAGGGCTAAAGAAGAACTTTTATGCAAGAGAGATTCAATATCTGAGCTGTAGGAACAATTTATAAAAAAGAGTAAAGTGGCGAAGTAGTTCCCAGACTCTTTAAATTGGGGTTAAAATAATCATATTAAAGAGTTGCAGGGACTAAATTAATACTTTTATAGACTCTGGTACTAAAATAGTAAAATGACCCCTACAAAGAGTCGGTACTATTTTGACACTTTTCTCTTATAAAAAATTTACCAAGTTAGCAGAGAAAAGCTGATATGCTAAAAGAAAATTTCACCTGTGAAATAAAAACGCAAAAGAATTGTATAATGTCGATGTAATTACTCTCAATTCATGTTTATTTAGTTGCACACACACACACACACATATATATTTATATATATATACGCTTAGGTGTTGTGCATACTGAAAGATGGTTCTGTTATTCATATAATATAGTTATGCAATGAATTAATAATTCCCATATCCTTCAATTCGATCACATAATGCATTCATATGCATTACAATGTTGATTCTATTAAGCAGAGAGAGTAATTGTAGTCGTTTAAGAGATGTAGAACTGAAACAAATATTACGTGCAGACTGTGTAGATGTGGATTTGGTGGTATTCATCACAATACCACCACAATACTAATCCACGTGTACGTTATCCCAACAGAATATTTAGAACTGTGGCTTATATTTTGTTTAATATGTGAAAAATAGGATAATAACTGAAAAATGAAAGAAACCATACTGAACGCAAAGTTATTTTTAAACCAGTCGGTGATGCTCTTTTAAATCCTTTGAGCACAGGCCATATCCATTCGTTGCCAAAATTCCGTGCTTCAGCTTCCTACAAGAGTTTGGTAAAGTTAGGTAATAGAGAAAGAGCAGGCTACTACATGCAGGTTAAATTAGAAATTCCTTATTTTGATTTTAATATGTCCAAATTCAGTAAAATTTTTTGATTCTATATATACATTGGTTAGATTTAATAAACTGTTCTATGAGGTTTCAAGCAATACTATCTTTTGATAAGCCAGGATGGCTTGTTGATTGAATGCTTCATCTGTTTGCATCAAAGTGTTAAAGAGTAAAAAATCATATTAATTTTTGAAACTAGCTTTTGTAAATTCAAGCAAACAAATGAGCCTTCAAGTCAAAACTCAGTTCAGCCACGTCAAATTTTTACCAAGGAAGAAGAAAACTAAGGTGAATGGCTTTATATAAATATATTAATTATTACATTATATAGTATTATATTTATCTAATCGTTTGATTTCACCAGTTTTTCTGCAGTCGGAACTTTGCTATTTAAAGAGGAGAGGAATAGTAAGATGAGTTGTTGCCAAGAGAAATTCATAAAAGAGAAAATGTCACGTGCATGGCTGAATGTTTTATACACTTACAAATGATTCTATTATCTCTTCCAAAGATTCTTTGCAAAAGCACATATTAATGGCTTGTAACCTGCAATAAAAGAATACCAAATTAGTCTCAGAAAGCTAATATTGGTTATTTTAAACACTAAAAACAAGTCTCTCATTAATAGCATACACTTAGAAGTATTACTTGTTTAAGATGGTTTCTTCCTCAGGGAGAACATTAATAGAAAATTTCTCAATCACATTCCTGACCGCATTTTCATCACCTGAATCCAAACTCAATAAACACTTCTCAAGCTCGTTCAATTTCTACAACATAAGAAAAGAAAAATTTCAAGTCATGTTGCACATGTCATTTTGATGAAAGTAAACGGTGCTACAATAACCCCAAACAATTCTCTGATAAATTGGAATGAAGAATATCATTAAGAAAAGGGGGCATTTACAAACATATCACCCAATTCTTATGTATTTATATATCTAACACCTAATATATATATATATATATATATATATAACACCTAAACTTTAGTTTCCACATTTATATCACCCAAAGCTTTCATATCACAAAAAAAAAAAAACCACCATTTCAACTTTCAAAAAGTGAAATACACCTTTTCATGCAAGATCGGAAGTGGCGGTGTTAAATATGTAAATGCATAAGAATTGAGTTGTACGTATCTAAATCTTCCAAAAAATAATTACCTCGGATGGGACAAAGTGAGTTGCAAGGCCAAGTGCAACCATATCCTTCCCACTTAACCGTGCATTTGTTAAGGACAAGTATTCCCCTGAACATTTACCAAGGAAATAAAAAAATTAGTGGAAAATGGAGAAAAGTGAAATGCGTAGTAATCAGCCTGTTAGTTTTTTTATCAGTAAAAATCTATATAGACGTCATCATAATTCATAAGTTTATTCCGGCTATTTGGGCTTGGCTTTATGAACCCTCCTCCATCGATTCCTTCTGAGCGCAACATGTGACTTCGCTATATCTTGCACAAAATTTTTATCGGGCATTTACATACATACCACAAAAGTCTTATTTGTTTACATATCTAACACATAAACACACGTATCTACATGCACAATATTCAAATTTTTACTATCACATCAAAAATACCACTATTACTATCTTTTTAAAATTGAAATGTACATTTTCATGCACAGATTTATGACACTAACTGAAAAAAAATAAAACAAAATAAAATAAAATAAAATGAAAGAAAAGAAAATTTAATGGATTGGTGTCGATTCGGAGGGTTTAACTGCCTCAACGTTTTCGTTTTCAGAGAACAAGCATTCCATTTGAAGCAAAGAAACGAATCAGACAAGAGAGCGAAAGCAAGAACCAAATGAGAAGAAAGTGGAGGGTCACATGTTGCTCTTACTGGAGATTAAATGCAGAGCAATGAGACTCCTAGAAGGAAGAAGTAATAGTGTTTGCGCTTGGGTAGAAAAAGCATCAAGTGATGCCGGTGTGAAAAAGAAAAAAAGGAGACTGTTGACAATTGGACCTAATTTAGGATCCTATTGGTAAAAAAAAAATATTGAAAAAGTCTAGAGGTTGATTTGTAAAACATTGTAATAGTCTATTTAAACCGATGTTATGAATGTACAAAGTAGGTTTTGAACAATTCTTTCTTGATGGTATTCAATCCCTAACCCTAACAGCTGTCGCAACCCTCATTAGTGTTGCTCAATCATCAGGATTAGCATGCAGAGACTCGAAACTCCAATGTTCCACCTTCGGTAGAGACCCAATTCTTCAAGGATGTCCACTCCCTATTAGGTGAAGATGACACCGGTCCTGCAGGTGTCGCGCATCGTCAGAAGGTTTCAGTCTTACACCACGTCGGAATCACAATTGCCACAACGAGAGGTAACTAGGACACCAACGAGGGGATCACAACGTTACAATCACAATTAGAGCTAATTGGGACGACAACCCCCGCAATACAGTCGCGTTAACTAGTTATTCTAACTACAAGATTGTGGGATAGCATCAAACCCTCACGATATCGTCGCACTAACTACTTTTTTCCTTGGGTTATTGTAGTTTAAATATGTGATTGCACATGCATTATCTTTAAAAAACTCATTATGTTATTTTAATATTTTTTCAGATTTAAGCTTTTGAATAAAATTAATTCTAGAAGAGAATGTGTACAAAAGACAAGATCAACAACCAGAAATATAATTTTTTTACTTATTATTTAATTTTTTTTTCTTTAGTTGCCTTTCAATGAATATTTAAGTGTTAGTGATAAAAGTACAATAATAGAAAATTTAATTCCAACGTATAACCATATGTTCCGGCCTTGCTTAATTCCAAACCTCGACCCAGATTGTGACAAGTGGGAGGAGTTTGTGGCAACCTTTAGAGACTGGTTCATACCACAATCAGCAAGGAAATAAATGTATGACAAGTTTATCCAACTGGTAAAGGGTGATTGTTTGATAATGCAGTACGAGACAGAGTTCACCACACTTTTTAAGGTGTGCATCCTAGTTAGTTCCAAATGCAGACGACAAGTGTCATAGGTTTTTGTCTGGAATGAAGGATTCAATAAGACAACCACTATTACCACTTGGGATTGAAGATTATTCAGTGTTAGTGAGAGGGCTAGTAGACTCAGAAATGTAAATACACATATAAGAAGAAGAGTTTTGAAGTGACACCAACAATACATTTTGGAGAGTCTGATGGGAAAAAAATAAAATCATATACTGATGAAGTTATTAGTCAGACTAACAATGGTACCATAAAGCCCCGTGCTAAGTGTGAGAAATAACATCGTGGAGAATGTCTATTTTATTTTAAGGGGTCTTACTTATACAAACAACCTGGACGTTAGATAAGAAATTGCCCAAATTCCACTCAGAGATCCATACCAAATGCTAACTCATGAAGAGATTCAACCCAAAGAAATTTTCACGAGAGATCTACTTTCAGGAGTGATCAACAAAATATGATAGAGGTTGGTAGGGTGATTCATAGAAGCAACCAAGAGAAAACATTCAACCAAGTGTCTATTCCCTAACTCATTAGTAACCTGAAGAACATGTTGATGCTGATGTAGATGCTACTAGAGTTTGATGGAGTGATTTATCATTTGGGTGTCATGTTAGTTATCTAGTGTTGTGTATATTTATGTATTGAGATCTCACAAATTTGCATGTTGTTTTAATTATGATATCATGCTTAGATGTTGGGGGATTTTTAATTAAATTATCTTAATTCAGATGACGGATTTATCATATCTGATTTTTTTTTATCAATTAACAAAAATTAAACTTTCATGAAGATTTTTGAATAGATCATGGTTAATCTGCATGATGTTTAGCTGGTGTGAAGTTCGTGAATTTCAAGGGTGAAATTTTATGAGGGGAGATTATGATAACCAAAAATATAAATAATAAAAAAAAATAAATTGAAATTAAAGAAAAGTAAATTTAATGCATTGGTGTTGATTCAGAGGGTTTAATTGTATAGAAGCTTTCCTTTTGAGAAGATGAGAATCCCATTTGAAGCAAAGAAACGAATCAGACGAGAGAGCGAGAACAAGTGCCAAAGGAGAAGAAAGAGGAGGGTTCGGGAGTTTCTCTTGCTAGAGATTCGATGCAGGGCAACGAGGCTCGGACAAGGAAGAATGAATAGTGCTCTCACTTGGGTAGAAAAAGCATTGAGCGATCTCGGTGCAAAAAAGAAGAGGAGAGGTTGTGTGTGCCTTGCGTTGATGCCATAAGGGACGCAGCTTTGGTTTCCAAAAAGGGATGGTTGACGTACCGAGGGCTGGAGGTGTTCTGTACGAGGAAGACAGGACCGATTTCTTGCGATAGCCATCGCGTGAACGTAGCCGAGTGATATTGAGGAGTCAAAGCTTCATACGAAAGAAAAGGAGAAGAAAGCAGCCTTCTGTGCGGAAAAAATTTGGGTACATAAGACGTACGCAGCGATACATGCGTCCTCCTGCCCGAGCCGAATCGAGGGTTAAGAGAAGTTGGGTCATGCCCTGGTTGAGTCAAGGAAGAAGGTGAAAATAAAAGAGAAGGCATGGCATTTTTGTGTTTTGTCCAGCGTGAATAAGAAGAGGAAGGAGAAGCGAAGAGAAGCCGAGCTGTCGCTACTGCCGATAAGTTCACCTGGGAGGAGCAAAGTCGGGAAGAGAAGGAAAAATTATTCCATACGGCATGCGGTGTCGATGGATCCACCTAAAGATGGATCCAACTAAATGAAAATGAAAAAAAAAAAAAAAAAAAAAAAAAAAAAGATGGATCCACCTAAATTATAAATAAAAAAAAAATAAAAAAAAAATGAAATATATCCGTGATCTACGGTTAGGATCGGACACGACAAACAAAGATACATGCAGTGTCCGTATGCAATAATTTCTCGAAGAGAAGAGAGCAGCTTCGTGGGGAGAAAGAGAAAAAAAATTACCTAAGGATTATGCACACCGTAGAGATTATTAAATATTATTGAAGGTATTAGAATGTTAAGAATAACCTAATCAAGTTTTCAAATAACAACAAAAAAATATGAGCACGAAACCGTGGAATCTATTGGTAGATTATTGAGGGATTATTGAGAAATTATTGGAGTTAATACCCAATATCTGAGTTATTTGGAAGCTTATTTGAGGGAATAAACATGTAGAATTGTGTGCGTACTCTGTACGTAAATAACGCTCCAGAAGAGGAGCCTACCGATCTGCTCGGGAGAAGTGAGCGAGTCGCACGCCCCGCGCATGGGAAATTTTGGCGTGGGGAGGGTTAAACGAAGTGCTTATGAAGAGACTAGGGTTTTTCTTATGGGCTTTATGTCATAATTATATAAAATAATTTAATGAAAAATATTATTAAGTTAATATTAAATTTTATGAATTAAAATCAGCGATATTAATTGAATAAGCATCTGTGAGAGATCGAGATAGTTACTTTAGAAACTAAAAGAAAGGATTAATTAAAGATAAGTTAGGATTTAAGGGTATTTAGATTTTTAATTATATAGTTTTAATTACAATTAAAGCATTAACATGAATTTTTTTTGTAATCAAAATCATAAAGTAGGAAGAAAAAATTAACGACAGTAAATAAAGGGATAAATAGGATCATAAGAAAATTGTTGACTTTGCAACAAGATTGATTGACATAAATTTCCATTATACATATAATTTATGTAGATTAAATACTTAATTCTAAAATAATTTTAATTTTAAGACATAGTTTAAAATTAAGTGGCATTAAGAATCATAAAAAAAAGTTTAAATCTATGGACTGATGTCATATTTAATGAATAAAAAAGTACAATAATATATATTTATTTTATTAATGATAATACATTATTATTAAGATAAACAATATTAAACTATATATAAATTTATTTGTCTTATGAGTAAATTTAGGTTTAATCTTTAGAATGGGGTTTTGAGGAGATAAATATAATGTTTAAGGAGGTTTTTGAAAGGCCAGTGTGAGTAATTATATTTTTAAATTTCAGCAATTTTTATTATTTATAAAAATAAGCTTGATTTCATTTATGCTATGTTCTAGTGAGATTTAGATTATACTAGATTTTTCATATTATTAGATAGAAAAGAAATGCACGTTAAGTAGTTGCATTAAAATTTTTCTAAGAGATATTATAACTACATGATATGTAGATTTCAGTATAGGTGCATATATCATTTTATTACATGGTCTCTAGATTTAGTAAGATTACATTTATTCATTAGTAGATTGAGATAAAATATTTCATAAAAATATAATGTATAACATGAAAATGAAGTATTGTATATATAAATGTTTGTTTGTGTAAGTTAAGAGGAGTTCACCTTCATATGGTACATGCAGAGGACATCAGTGTATCCGCGTGCATAGATGTTATCCAACCATCCTAAACAACTGTGATGTTTAGACCGTTAACTGGTGTCCGACGAAAGAATACCCTATAGAAAAAACACTAACTGACGGTAAAACCGACAACTTAAATTTTAGTTGGCAAAAATGTCTTATTTTCCGACATTTTTACGATGGCTTATGTTTTGAGTTATTTCTGACGACATAATAACAAGACATACTACCGTTTATGAACAATAGATAAGTTTCCGACGGTTTTTATTATAATCGACACATTTCATTATCATTTATATGCACATAATAACCGACAGTTATATCTCGTCGATTATTTACGAGCCCACCATTGAAAGGGCGTTAACCGATGAGTTTTTTTAGCAACCGACGGTCAATTCCTTCAGTATTAATGCTAATAACATATGGATTTGAAGTCATTTGTAAGACCCCAAAAAGAATCCTTTATACCGCCGAAATTCGCTGCACCCCTGAACTTGCCCTAATCCCGATCCATCTCAGTCTTTCCCTCTCGCCGTGTCCTAACCCTTCCCTCCCCTCTTCTGACGACTCCAGCGCCTGATGACCGCAACTCTGACGACTCTAGCTCTGACGACTCACCCCAACTCCAACACTTTGGCATTAATCTCGACACTCAAATGTATGGTTTATGGTGATGTAGAAGGGGATGTTATTAGTAGAATTCAATTTGGTTGGTTGAAATGGAGGAATTCTTCAGATCTATTGTCTGATAGAAAAGTGTCATTTAGACTGAAAGGAAAATTTTAAAAGATGATGGTGAGACCTCTCTATGACACAGAATATTGGCCTTTAAAAGAGAAGCATAAAATTAAGTTAAGTGTTGTCGAGATGAGAATGCTCAGGTGGAAGAGTGGCTTTACACTTAGAGATAAAATGTGAAATGAATATATCCGTGAAAGGGTTAGTGTAGCTCCTGTGGCGAACAAAATTAGAGAGAGTCGTCTTAAATGGTTTAGTCACATTAAACGTCGACCATCGGATGATCCGGTTAGGAGAATAGATGTTTTAGAATCGATTTATGTTAAGAAAGACAGATGTAGACCACCTACAATGACATGAACATATTGTATAAACAATGATCTTAATTTATAAGAATTAAACGAAAATATGACAACAATAGGATGCAATGGAGGAAAAGATTCATGTAGCCGACCCCACTTAGTTGGATAAATGCTTGTTGTTGTTGTTGTTGTTGTTATTGTTGTTGTTGTTGTTGTAGAGATGTTGAAACTTGTGGGATATAGTAAATCCTATTAAAGCCACCAAAGACTTTCTCCAGATTTACTTATTAACATACCAAATAGTTTTTAGGATTTAACCTCTTTAAGATTCAGTGTTTTCAGTTTCAGTAGCTTGTAGATTGTATTTTACAGTTTTATATTCTGTTTACTGCGTACTTTTGCTTTTTTCAGTTTCAGTAGTCTATAAATTATACTCATGCAATTTAATGTTGCCCTTTTTTTTACTGTGTATTATTGTACTTTCATCTTTAGTAGTATGTAGATGTAATAATTAACTTTACTTTCCTGCTTGCAGATAACTTCTGGAAGAAAGAGCGGTATGCCCCCTGTCGGGGGATGTGTTGGCTTGCGGAAGTCCATAAGCCGATGGGGCTGTGGACGTGGTGATAGAGAGTGCACCAAACTGGCATCGCCTCTAGTCCCCTCTACCACACAAGTTCCTCCACCAATCACGATCTCAACATCACAATCACCACTAGCTACGACACCACCACCGCTACCAGCCACAACACAACTACCGTCAACACTCGCATCCACGACACCAGCAGCACCATCAACATTGGTTGCTCTTGAAGCGCTGTCGAGTTCGAGCAGCACAAGCAACCGTTATCAGCTCAGTGCAGTGGGGAACACGTAAGTTTTAATTTAATGTGCATACTACTTCTTAGTTTTTTTATTTAATAGAGAACTAATTACATGTTATTTTTAGATTTAGTCCCCCTACACAGGCCATACATTCCATCAGAGAAATAATTCAGAGCAAGTACGATCACATGTACTTATCTTGAAAGGAGATCTCGATCATAGTTCAGGATATGTGGTTTGACAAGTTTAAGGTAAACCCCGAACACAGTAATTACATTTATTTATTTATTTTTATGAATCTAACAATTTCTAATTCAATTTACTGAAACAATGGTCCTGACCCCCCGAGAAGGAGGCACACATCCGCAGGAACTTCGAGCACAAGGGAAGCGATTAGTTGTGAGACTAGTTCAGTGGTATCGCTAGAAACGTGAGCTCCCATTGTGGTTAGGCGAGGATGTGTTTGCCACACTGCTCAGAGCAAAGAACTCTCCCGAGTATCAAAGGAAGAGAGAGCAGGCAAAACTGAATTGCCGCTCTAACTGCATGGGCATGGAGGTCTTAAAGCACACCCGTGTAGCCTTCCCACATACGGAGTACAAGAGGAAGCTGCGAAGACTTTTTTTTTTGCATTAAATCTTATTTTACATTAAATGTTTGCTAACTATTCCATTACACTGACAAACACTAGAGAATGGGCGGAAGCCAACTGGTGTAGAGTTACACGAGCGCATCCAAAGGCGACAATTGGATCAGTCCTAAGTGGACAGCAGATCGAATGCAACCTAGGTAGTTGACAAGATTAATTAGTACCAAATTCAAATAAATATCAAAATTTATTTAGTCTCTCACTTTCATTAATCATATGTTCTGTAGAAGGTCTTCCTAAGACTCAAGGAGAGCTGATCTTGGCAGTCGGTTTTTGGTTCGGGCCATCTTACGATCCGTCTGAGTACGACTTTTAAAATAAGCTGTCGACAAAAAGAAGAAGGGCAGGGTATATGGGTTGTGGTCCCAGGCGATGGCCTACGATGCCTGCCTAGCCTCTAACACAACCGATGTATCAACTTCCACTTCAGAGAAGGAGATGCGTCTTCAGGTTGTTGCTGAGGTTGCTGCCCAGGTAGTTGCCTTGAGATCGGAGATGAGGGCAGAGTCGAAGTGGTGTAGCGTTCAGAACTACAGAAAGGGAAGAAGCCAGTATAGGATGACACCGGGGATGATGATGATGAGAAGATGACACAAGATGTTAAGGAGGATAAGTAGGGAGTTATTTTTTGTTTGGTTTAGTATTGAACAAATTATTGTTAGAACATTAGTTTTATTGTTCGGTTGTACATTTCCTTAATTATTTTTCTTTTATTTGTGTATATGATTTATGCGTTAATTAGTTTTGTTACTGTATTTTGATTGATTTATTATGATTAAATGTGTGTAGATTATAGCGTTAAAAGAAGATTTTATATATTTGTTTTCTGATGATACATGTTTTCAACGACTTATCAATGATTTTACGACGGTTAATTGAACAAAAGACAACTTTTCGACAATCTATTGAATAAGCGAAATTTGGACAAAGTGCTACATGTTTGCTATGGACAAAACTATCGATAAATTCCCAAAGTTAATCAACAATTTGGCGACAGTTTACTGATAGAACCACAACACTTTTCTAACGGAACAACAACAATTATTCCTACGGATGTTTTTGTCGGTTATGTAACCGACGACCAAGCTATGATAAACATGATATGTTTTTGAATCTCTAGCGATGACTATGATAAGTCGGTTAATATAAATCGTCGTTAAATTTATCGATAATTTAATTACTGAAAAATATTTTTACTACGTCAACTTTGTTATAGCTACACCGTCGGTAACTATATTACCTATGGTTTATCCGTTATTACCGATAGCATTTGACCATCAGTAAGAAACTAAATTCCTGTAGTGATATCGACAAGAGGCAAGTAGGCACATTTTTACTTCCAACAATCGTGTAAATTAGATCACAAATCGCTACACATACGTGATAATATCTGTAAGGGGTGTGTTAGATTATGCTTCGACGGTGCTTCTAGAACAAATGTGAATATTAATAGCATGAAGTAAAACTAAGTTAAAGATAAAACCTTGAAGAGTAAATTTAAAGTTAACACATATCAAATTTTAAGTTGTTTTCATTGAATAAATATCATGGGCATATACATTACCATAGCTTGGTCTTTGGTTACCATAACATCTTTTATAATTAAATATGAAAAACCAATATGCGTAGTACTTTCTTTTCCTTAGATTACTATAGTTCAAATATGTAATTGCTCACGAGTTATCTTTAGATAAATCATAATGTTATTTTAATATGTTTTCAAGTTTAAGATTTTAAATAAAATAAATTCTAGAAGAGAGAATGTATACACAATGCAAGATCCGTAACCAGAAAAGTAAAATTTTTTACTTATTATTTAAATTGATTTCTTTAGTGGTTCTTTCCATTAATATTTAAACATTAAATTATTAGTGATATCTATATTCGACGGTCCATTCGCACCTTAATTAATTCCAAGTCCCAGGTCTTGTTTTTATGTGTAAATATCAAAGTTGGGGCATGCGATATGTAAAAGCATAAGAGTTGTGTGATATGCATGTAAATTTCACAGTTTTCATTCTATCTATTCATACATACATAAATTTGATCTCATCACTTTATTAATGCATCTCGTTCCGCTAATGAACATATACAAAATCTATTAATCTATTTTTGTCTTCAATATCTACGACACATATCGTCTAATACGATTATTTCTTTCTTATATCCTTCCTCTAATGTGTACAGACACATTAAAACATTTATCGTTGTTAATTTACCATTTTCTCTCTTAAGAAATGGGTGGAAATCATTCCCCAAAAAACAAAAACATCAATGGAAAAATACATCTTCTACAGGCTACGCATTCTCACGTAACATGTCTAGGAGAAAATATGTCCTTACCCAGATAACCAGGAAGACGTGGAAGAATGTAAGAAAAGCTGCAATCTGAATGAAGCCCAACGCTTGCTTCAGGCATAGAAAAAACCTATAAACCAAATGTTAGATATTAAAAATAAACTTACTAGGAAGGATAAGCTCGCAGCAATGATAATTAAAAGGAGTAAGAGGGTATGCTTGAGTTAAAAGGAATTGGAGGCATTACAAACATTTTTGACTTCAAAATTTTATTTTGGGCGTTTGATTGGAATAAAATTGATAGGTGATTAATATTGCTGAGAAAAATGAGATTGAATCCATTTTTTCCATTGATAGTTTTCTACCCAAGCCTAGTAAAAAACGAAAAGAAAATTTTATGGGCCTCCTCACAAGGAAAAAAAGAAAAATCAATTATTCATTGAAAAAATATGAAAGAAAAAAAAAAAAAAACGAAATCATTTTCATTCAGTATCTCCTCAACAAAACAATTAGGTGAGAAACAAATAAATTCAATTCCTTGGAGGCTTTTTGCAATCATTTTTATTTTGTGTTTACATCTTTTTTTATTTTATTTTATTTATATTTTAATTTAAATTTAAATATATTTGATTGAGGTATTTATTTTTAAAAACACTCAAAATACCTTTTGTGTTTTAAATAATTTTAAAAGCAAATTGATTTACTTTTAAAAATAAAAAAAATAAAATATATAAAAATTATATCAGCTAAATATGTTTTTAAAATAAAAAAAATAATAATAAAAACAAATTTAGGAAACAAAATTAATGCCAAACAGCCCATACCATTTTTCATTCCAATTCCTTTACATTTTTCTATTTCAATTCTTTCAACCTGAAAAACTAAAACAATAGAAAAGCGGGGAAAGCAAAAAAATCTGTCCTTTCACTACTTTTTAAAATAATTCATGGGGTAAAAACAGGAAATTGACTATTCATATCGATTTCATAAAGCAAAAACGACTCCAATAAAAACAAGTGAGTTCGAAAGGTCGTAGAAGACTTCTGTTGGAATGACGTTGTTTTATTTTATATAGCATCGAGTCAAAGAAAGTTCTCCTTTTCCAATTAAGAAATAAAGTTCGCTTTTACTTGAGAAGGAACTTCTTTACAATACATTTTTCCCTTGCATAAAAACCCCTTGACAGAAATGGACTTTCTATTAACAAAAAAGAAATATTCACACCACATATCACTGAATTCCTATGTATTTGCATATCTAACATCTAAACTTCAATTTTTACGTACAAACCACCTTTCCTAGGCATGAAAAGCTGTATTTCACTTTTTAAAGATAAAACTGATGTGTCCTAGAAAATTCACGGCGGTAGAATAATGAATTATTGTCTTAGGACAACTCAGATATTTTCTTGGGATGAAGTGATCCATGGCCTAAATGGTCCTATCTCAGAGAAAATATATATTGGATCTTCTCATGGAGACAGGTATGCGGGGGTGCAAACCTACAGTCTCTCGAATTGATCAGAAGGTCAAGTTCAGTATAGAAGCAAGTGAATCAGTTATTGTGAGAGATGTCAGAAGTTGGTTGGCAGCCTGATCTACCTGTGCCACACTCGACCTTATATTTCAATTGCAGTACGTGTGGTGAACCGCTACATGCATGATCCAAGGAATGGTCATATGGATGCAGTGTATCAGATTCTGAGGTATCTGAAGAGTGCACCAGGGAAATGATTAATATTCAAGAAGAATTAACATGTAGATATTGAGGGTTTTTGTGATTCTGATTGGGCAAATTCAGTTGATGATGGATGATCCTCATCAGAATACTGCATATTTGTAGGTGGCAACTTGGTCTCGTGAAGAAGCAAGAAACAACCAGTGGTTGCAAGATTAACTACAGAGACAGAATATCGAGTCATGACACTAGGAGTTGCAGATTTGATATGGATGAAAACCTTATTGGTTGAACTCAAAGTGGATCAAGAAAATCAAATGAAATTGTGGTGTGAAAACAACTCGACAATCCGCTAACAACTCGATGCAACACAATGGAATCAAACAATGAGAAGCTGAATAACAGATTGTTGAAATTAAGTCATGTGGCTACTGGAGAGCAGATGGCTGACTGCTTCACTAAAGGACATAGTTCAGTGGAGTTAGCTAGATTATGTTGCAAGATGGACTTAGTGAAAATCTTTTGCCCATCTTGCAAGGGAGTGTTGTTAGTTATGTGTATTAAGAGGATTCTATGGATTTATTTGTAAAACATTGTAACCCCTTATTTAAACACATATTTTGAATGAAATATCTAATTTCTGGCTTATTTCTTTCTTCTATTTCTAGAGATGTGTCCAACAATGAGAAAAGTAGTAGACCGGCTAATTCATATTCTACAACAATGCATCCCTATTCAACACAGGAAGATCGCAGTGATACTTAGGAATTCTTTGAGCCAACATATCACAGTTCAGGCCAACAACCTGAGTGCACAAATGTTGGGACTTGGCTTACATATATATTATGTGTTTGTTTGGTTCATTTGGTTTTCATGTTCGAGGCATTTACATGCATACCACCCAATTCCTATGTATTTACATAACTATCACAAACTTGAATTTTTTACATTTATATGCCCAAATCTCTCATATCTCATTACAAATACAACCATTTTAACTTTTAATAAGCCAAATACACATTTTCATGCATGGACGCATAGGTAAGGTGGTATGCAAGTAAAAATTGGAGTTTAGGCGTTCGAAATGTAAATTTAGAAGAATTAAGTTGTATGTATATAAAAATTTCTTCATATATATTTTTTATTCTGCATGTAGGTTTATTGACATGTGTATAATCATCAAAATGAATCTAATTAAAAAAAATATTAAAATTAGAAACGGTTTAAACCACTGCCATATACCTACTAGTTAAAACTGTTGCTATAGTCACCACAGCTAAAAATTTTTCCCGACAATTTTAAACCTGTTGCTAAAAGCCTTTGCAGCAATCATCAAATTTAGCAGTTTAAAAAACCCCGCAGTAAAAATATTAGGGATTTTTACCGTAGCGATAACCTATATAAAATGTTGTGAAACTTTTTATTAGTAGTGATCTTGGTGAGCTTTTCTTAGCTTACTTTATGAAGCTTCTATTCGATTCTTTTGTTCCAGATTTTTCAAACCGGTGTTCCTATTTTATGCGATGTGGTTTTGATTGTGAACCAAATGTAGCCCTCAGTGCATATTCCATACCAACAATATGTGAAATGAATGATTTGGGTGATATAAATGTAAAAAAGCAAATTTTAGGTATTAGATGGGTAAATACATAAGAATTGGGTGGTATCCAAGTAAATGCCCACTTGCCAGATAAATTTGTATTCTTGCACTTACAGTATTCTCAGTGACAACAGAAAACTTCAATGGGACAGTCATAGCTGCACCTCCACCCATAGCAATTCCATGAACAAGGGCGACCTAGCATTTCATCCAAAGATAAAAAAATAAAATGACAATTTCTCCATTCTAAGTAGTAAAAACCATTATCAGTAGAATACAGAAGAAATCATTACCATGGTTTTCTTATAAGTATGGATGTGGTAACACAACCAATACATCCTATATACAACCTCAAGACAGAAATCACCTGTTAAGGTAAAAGAAAGGCATAAATGACTTAAAACGGATCTCCAAACACTAAAATACTGAATGTGATAATACTTCAATTTAAATCATGATTTTGAATTTACTAAGAGACCTGTCCTCCCTGCATAGAACATTTTCAGATCCCCGCCAGCAGAAAAAGCACGCCCAGCTCCCTGAAAATAATGTATAGATCAAAAAGTCTAACCAATCTATATGCAAATAACTAGAAAAAACAGTAATTAATAATAATAAAATAATCCACCTTAAATATCACAAGTTTAATATCTTCATCCTGCTCCCATTTCTCGAGGTATTCAGCTACTAGCTCGACCTAATATCCATTGCATTTCTTAACATTGATTTCCATTGAAAAAGAAAGAAGCAAGAAATTAGCATCAATTCTCCCCCAACCACTTTGAAGAAGAATCGATACACATTTGTTCATCACTCCTCTCTGAGATATATAAAGAGCTGCATTGCTCGGAAGAGGTGGAACTGCGTGCAGTAAGGGTTTTCGGTTGGTGGAGTAAATCTGTGGGCCCCGCAGCTTACCGTCGTAGAGATGAGCAGTCGAGATGCAATTTGAAATATTTGAACGGACGTGATTTACTAGTGCTCTTTTGTGGTGAAGTGACGGTCCACGACTCCACGTTGGGTGGACCGGTGGGATAGATCGGGTTTGTTGGGGGCAGCCTGAACTCTCAAGCAATGTTAACTTTTTTCCAAATCTACCGACATATCATATATTTAAATTTGTGATAATTACATATAAGCCATAAAAAATATTGCTATTTACAAATCGAATATCTAGTTTATTTTTTGAACTAAGAAACATGTGCATTTATGTTTGTCACGATCAAACTATTATGAATTTGATAAAAATAAAAAACAAATATGGATTGGGGTTTTCTCAGTACCTCGATATTGGAGTGCGAATTTGAAACATGAATGAAGGAGTGCATGATTTGCAATTAGCAATGTTTTGAGTGCCATGTATGTAATCAGCCCTTTAAATTTAAAAAAAATATTAAATCAGGACTCCTAACGCAGAACTATGTTCGGAGTGCACTGATATGCAGGCACGTGGAGGTGATAGAAAAATAAAAAAAGAATCATTTTAGCGCAGAGGAATATTTCTCCCATATTATTCTACATTATTCATGTGTTATTGTGGAGGTATTCATGTGTTATTGTGTTTTGGGAATATTCTCGGTGTTATAATAACACAATAACACATGAAATATGGATTGGGATTTTCTCATTACCTTTGATATTGGAGTGCGAATTCGAAAAATGAATGAAAGGAGTGCATGGTTTGCAATTAGCAATGTTTTGAGTGCCATATATGTAATCAACCTTTTAAATTGGAAAAATATTAGATCAGGACTCCTAACGCAGAACTACGTTCGCAGTGTACTGATATGCGGACACGTGGATGTGATAGAAAAATAAAAAAAGAATCGTTTTAGCGCAGTGGAATATTCCTCCCGTGTTATTCCACATTATTCATGTGTTATTGTGGTGGTATTCATGTGTTATTGTGTTTTGGGAATATTCTCGGTGTTATAATAACACAATAACACATGAATACCACCACCACAATAACATCTAAACAAAATAACAAAGGAGGGATATTCTCCTGTGTTACCGGGCTGTATCACAGGAAAGCGAGCGGGTTTCCTTGAAGCCACATGTCCGCATACCAATATACTCCAAACGTAGCTCTACATTAGGAGTCCTGATATAATATTTTTCCCTTTAAATTTATGTATTCACATACATAACATCTATAATTTAATCTTTATGACTATGATATTAAAATATCATAGACTTTATGCATGAAAAACTAATAATAATATTTTTATTTAATATTAAAAATTTAAATATATAAATATGAAATTTTAAATTTAGATATATAAATACATAAGAAATGGGTGCAATTTTTTTGACATTATTATACACAGTCATAAGAACCATATATTTAAAATGTATTTATTTTTTAAATTAGAAGGACTTTACTCGTGGCGTATGAATTAAATAATATTATTGTATTTTTAATGTCATGGATCTGAATCCAATATTTTCAAACCTCATCAATCATTTTGGACGTTCAATTTTTAATTTTATAATTCATGCGGTGAGAGCGACGTGCGGTAGGTGATTTGGTAAGGAGGGGGTTCGGAACATTAAAGATTCGGTTGTTGGCTAAGGTTTTTTTTTCAAACTCCTTTGAATTGACTTATTTATGACGTGTACTGTGTCAGAACCTTTTTTTATTTTTTTATAATAAAATTATATATATATATATATATATATACATACATACATTTATACATTTTAAGTTATTTAATAAAATTAATATATTAATTGGCACTTCATTTGA